TATGGATTAAATAAAATTTAATTATATTTAACGCAAAAAATAAATTAAATTATGGCTCAAATAATTTAATTTTGAATTAATAATTGTATTATATATTGACTTTGTTATTCAGAGAATTAAGCGATTCTTTATCGTCCTATTATATTTCTAACTTCGTAAAATTTATTACTGTTCATCGAAACACCCCAATTATTAGACTAAAAGCGAATTTAGGAGTTCAAGCTGAAGTTAGCGCTGAAGAAATTGATTGATTCTACGAACAAGATTAATCCCAAAAAGCTCTCACGATTAAAGAAAGGAATCGAAACCGTTTTCCATCGCGAAATCGTCGATCAAAATCAGTTGCGACGAATTACACAGAGACTCACGAAACGATTAACAACCGTTCTCATGCCGTTCGATCATTAAAATTTTCACGCTGCCACGGAATTTTCACTCTTTCACGGATCCCTGATCGATGAACTTCATCGAAGAAAGAGTTCTCTCCCTTCTCGACGAAACATCTCGCGAAGCCGATTCGTGAAAAAAAAAGGAGAAGAAAGAAAAAATAAAATAAAAAAGAAAGGAGAGAAACTCGCTGTCAGTGATCGAGGAATTCTGGAAACGATGAAATCTCGGAAAGATCGGCCGACAGGGAGAAAAAAAGTGAAACGAGCGATCAGGTACGAAGGTAAATACAAACGAGAATGATTAATCGATCGGTGGATCGTAGTCGACCCCCTGCAGTTTCCCCGATTTCGTCGGAACCCTCTTTCCTACCTCACGCAGGGTGGCGTTCTCTTTTTTCCTTTTTTTTTTTTTTTGCACCGATCACGGAAATGTAGGCGCAAATTACCAAAACAAAATATTCCAAAAATATACTCCCCGTGTGCGTGTCGGCCGGAAATTGCTGCTCGCAACCCTTGAACAACGACAGAGAATTAGAGGGTGGTCGCTTGTCAACCGATGAAATTAGCTCGTTTCCCACAATCTGTCACACCCTCGATTTCCAGAATTTTAGGGAGGATGGTAAAAAAGAGTTCAAGACAAGCATTTAAGCTCGGAAGACACACGGCTGGAACATCCTGGTTAGAGTTTTGTTGATTTTAGAATTTACAGATATATAAATCAATAGAATCTGTACAATTGTGTATACAAGTTTTTTTTATTTTCTGACGCCGTAATTTCAATCTTGTTTCAACTCCTTTCCTAACTTACGTTCTGTATCGTATTTGTCTTCCGCGGTAGCTTTTACAGAATTGAAATAAAGACACATTTTCTCAAAACTAATTTTTTAGCTTTTCGACATAATAAAAAAGTTCGTAGACAATTTACGTAGTAGAGAGTAACAAGCTACGTTGAATGCGTATAAAAATCATAATTCCGGACAGA